TAATGTGAATGCACCTGAACAACAAGTCTTTAATTAAAAGACAACTGAAAATTAATATTTTTAGTAGTAAGGTACCTGAACCTCAAGACTTTAATGTGAATGCATCTGAACCTCAAAAATGTTATTGTGAATGCACTTAAACCTCAAAAATATTAATGTAAATACACCTGAATCTAAAAATTTTAGTCTAAAGATAATATTACATCAAAGTCTTATTGTGATAATTCCTAAATCTTAAAGCAGTAATGTGAAGGCACCTAAACCACAAACCTCTAATGTGAAGAATTTGTAACCTCAAAACTGTAATGTAAAAGCACCTGAATAACAAAACTCTAATTTGAAGGCACCTGAATCTGAAAACTTTAATGTGAATGCACCTGAACATCATGACTTTAATGTAAAGAAACCTGAACATTAAATATTCATTATGAAGGTATCTGAACCTCAAGACTTTTATGTGATGGCACCTGATCATTTATATTTTAGTATTAAGGCACCTGAACACTAAAAATAAAAGTGTAAATTCAACTGAATCTTAAAATGTAAGTTTGTAGAGAGCTTAATCTTCAAGTCTTAGTGCGAAGATACCTGAACTTTAAAATTACAATGTGAAGACACCTGAAAATCAAACCTTTTGTGAAGACAGTAAAGTTTAAAAATTAACAATTTTGTCAGAAAATGCGCCTATCTTCACAAAAAAATCTCCACATAATCTCCAATTTTTATAGATTCACTCCAGCATAAAGATTTTTTTTGTATGTTTCTCTCTCCTCACTCAATGTATCGCGAATTCTTTTTTTATCCGGTGCCGTCGGGAAATTTTCCTTATAAATAATTCACGCACTTTAAAATTTTTTTTTCTTCCTTTCCTCATTTTACAGTCGCTCTCTTTTTTTTATATAATGGGCTGTAATCTAATAAACTTTATACTGCCATGCTATTGTTGCTTGCTTGCTCCTTCCACCCGCGAGCACATACGCTACTTCTCATTTCCATGTGAATAATGCTTGTATGGATGTTGTGAGGTACATAAAATCATAATAAATTAAGCATAACAATCCGCTTTTCTGTTGTTTAACATCTTTTTTTTTAATACTCGGATGTTCATTTTTTATTCGACGTGTTTTACAATTTTTTTAATGATTTTTGTCTTGTTGCGAATTCTTTTGTAAAGTTGTGAATCTTTTTAATTTTTATGGATATTGTTGGTACTAAAAAGTATTATTCAGGGTTGATTAGGACTAGCCATCAATATAAGCTTCTTTTAAGCAGTACTAAGCTCACACTAATGTGACTTTGAACCATTTAGGTCAAATATAGGTTCTTTAATGTCTTCCAGGGGTGACAGAGGCTCTGAAGATAGATGATAGGACTTCAAAGTGCTATTAATCCTATTTTCAGTCAAACAATGTTGATATTGTTGCTATTGTTGTCACCTTAGCAGTAGTGCGCACCTTGCAGCACCAGAAACCAACTCTTGAAAGTCAACTCTTTGTACCCAATCCATCTTTTCTCATTTAATAACCTCTTTCCAACTTAAAAAATTACTTACTTCATCCTTGCTTCCACCAAATCATCAAATGAAAGATTAAAGGCGCTCAATTCATCCATTTTAAGCACAAATAATGAAATTAATCTCCTTGACATTTAATTCTTTCTCTTTAAGTCTTTTAAAAGGTTACATTACTCCCACCTAACCCCGCTGTTACATCAAGCCCATAAAATAAACTTCATATCATATTCAACTAACTCAATTTACTCGCGACTTCTTGTTCCTCTCTATCAATTCATCCTAACAATAAAATATGTTCATACATATTATTTACTTATGTTTATCATTTATCTCCCCCAACTCCCACTACAGACTTTTTTTTGAATTTTCTTTATTTTGCCCCGCGAGATTTAAAGAATAAGAAAGAAGCTGATGCATGCCTAATATATTTATGTTACATGCTATGGATTCGGAAAATTTAACTTCATTGTTTATTCGCATAATTTTCCATAAACATTAGAATTGAAGATATAAATTGAGTTGATAAGGATGTAAAGTAGTTGGAGGTGGGAATTGATATCGATGATTTTATTGAGGCTGTTGGCAATGAATATTTTAAATTTTTCGATTTTGTTTGACTATTTTTGGTTTTATTTGTTTTCATTCGGTTCTGTTCGGCTTCGTTCGGTTCTGTTCGGCTTCATTCGGTTCTGTTCGGCTTCATTCGGTTCTGTTCGACTTCATTCGGTTCTGTTCAACTTCATTCGGTTCTGTTCAACTTCATTCGGTTCTGTTCGACTTGGTTCGGATCTGTTCGACTTTATTCGGTTCTGTTCAACTTCATTCGGTTCTATTTGACTTCATTCGGTTCTGTTTGTCTTCATTCGGTTCTGTTCGACTTCATTCGATTCTGTTCGGCTTCATTCAGTTCTGGTTGACTTCATTTGGTTCCGTTCGACTTCATTCGGTTCTGTTCGACTTCATTCGATTCTGTTCGGCTTCATTTAGTTCTGGTTGACTTCATTTGGTTCCGTTCGACTTTATTCGGTTCTGTTTGACTTCATTCTGTTCTGTTCGACTTCATTCGGTTCTGTTTGACTTCATTCTGTTCTGTTCAACTTCATTCGATTCTGTTCGGCTTCATTCAGTTCTGGTTGACTTCATTTGGTTCCGTTCGACTTCATTCGGTTCTGTTCGACTTCATTCGATTCTGTTCGGCTTCATTTAGTTCTGGTTGACTTCATTTGGTTCCGTTCGACTTTATTCGGTTCTGTTTGACTTCATTCTGTTCTGTTCGACTTCATTTTGTTCCGTTCGACTTCATTCGGTTCTGTTCGACTTGGTTCGGTTCTGTTTGACTTCATTCGGTTCTGTTCATCTTCATTCGGTTCTGTTCAACTTCATTCGGTTCTGTTTGACTTTATTCGGTTCTGTTCGACTTGGTTCGGTTCTGTTCGACTTCATTCGGTTCTGTTCATCTTCATTCGGTTCTGTTCAACTTCATTCGGTTCTGTTTGACTTTATTCGGTTCTGTTCGACTTGGTTCGGTTCTGTTTGACTTCATTCGGTTCTGTTCATCTTCATTCGGTTCTGTTCAACTTCATTCGGTTCTATTCGACTTCATTTGGTTCCGTTCGACTTCATTCGGTTCTGTTCGACTTCAATCGATTCTGTTCGGCTTCATTCGGTTCTGGTTGACTTCATTTGGTTATGTTTGACTTCAATTAATTTTACTCTTGCTACTTTGGATTAAATTTTGTTCTTTTCAGCCTTATTTGCAGCCACAAATCCATTATATCGATATTTTACAATTTTTATTCATTCCATTTCAGTTTGAGTTTTCTTTAACATCTAGCCACATCCAGTCCTACCCATTCCATTCATTTTCCTAAAACTACAAATTCGCTCTCCAAACACCAACAAAATATCCTTAAAAAATGTTGCAAAAATCGAAAAATGTTGTAACGACGTCGACAGAATCAACATAACCATTAATATTTATGTTTATGATAATGCCATCGCCAATGCGACAGCAAAAAGAGCCGACTGACTGCAAGGCAAGCACCTTTTTTGTGCTCGTTCATTTTTTATTTAAAAGAATTTTTATTTAAAAATAAGGGAAAAAAGTTTATGTCTTCATTTTTTTCCACCCTCGGTGCAGTTTTCCAAGTGTCTTGCATACTTTACATTTGACTTCTTATTTTTATGCGACAAAATGTTATGAGATGTAAATTGTTTTGCCATAAAAAATGAAAGAAGCTGGATTAGATGTCGTACAAGTTATCGCTATTTTATCTTTTCATTTTTACACTTCGTATTCTTTTGTGAGGTGCTGTTTATGATTTTATGAGATCTGTTAGGGTTGCTTGAGTTGTCTGATGACAGTTTGTCTTATTTTCAGGAGATTTTATGGCTGTTTTTTGAAAACATTGTTGCAAAGTTATCAAAACTCAAACTCAAGGGCCTTAATTTAGTCAAATGAACCTGAATGATGCCAAATATAAATGAATCAAGTTGATCTGAAACAATTAAAGTTGAAGACAAACGAATGAAGTCGAATAAAACCGAACGAAGTTCAACAGAACTGAATTAATTCGAACATAGCCGAATGAAAACGAACAGAACCGAATGAAGTTAACCAGAACCGAATGAAGCCGAACAGAACCGAATGAAGCCGAACAGAACCGAATGAAGCCAAACAGAACCGAATGAAGTCGAACGAAACGGAATGAAGTCGAACAGAACAGAATGAAGTCAAACAGAACCGAATAAAGTCGAACAGAACCGAATGAAGTCGAATAGAACCGAATGAAGTCAAATAGAACCGAATGGAGTTGAATAGAACCGAATGAAGTCGAACAGAACCGAATGAAGCCGAACAGAACCAAATGAAGTTGAACAGAACCGAATGAAGTCAAAAAGAACCAAATGAAGTCGAGCAGAACTGAACGAAATCGAATAGAACCGAATAAAGTCGAATAGAACCAAATTAAGCCAGAACAGAGAAATTTTACTCAAAATTTGGAAATTATGAACCAATTTCAGGATCTAAAAGACTCCTCACATTAGAAAAAACATCAAAAACGCCCAAACTTCTTCATCCAAACATTCTCAAACTCCCCTCCTCCATTCCTTTCATCTTCCACACCACCTAAAACAGCAAACATATTTATGGAAATACTTAGAAAAAAAAAATAATGTAAAGTTCTTTAAGTCAGCTATAAACAAAAGTTGTCACAATATATCAAGATGTGCTGTCGTGCGTTTTGAAAACAATTTTCATGTTTCTTTTATTCGAGATAACACCATCAACCCCTCTTAAACATCTTTCTCACAAGCAAGTGTGAAATAATTTAAATGCATATGTGGTGTAAAGTCGTGTGCTTTATGTTGTCATGAATTACAAGCAGGATTTTCAATTCCTGATGCTGGAGTCTCTTTGATCAAATTTTTGAAATTTTCGTCATTCTTAAGATTTGTGAAGATGATTTTAAATTGCTTTAATTTTTCACTTCCAAAATCTCGTCACTTTGAATTGATCAGTCGCTTGATCTGCCTCATGATCCGGTTCATGAGCCGGTTCAGTTAACATTGTTAGCTCTGTTGTTGGTTCAGTCAACTCAGTGTTCTCAGTTAAATCTGGATTTTCAGTTTCTATTGTGGCTGTAGTTGCATGAGTTGACATAAGTGACTCAGTTGTTAGATTCACTTCAGTTGTCGTAGCTCGTTCAGTTGATTCAATTTGGTTAATTAACTCAGGTATTTCTTGAATAACAAAAATCTTTCTTAAAGTTGACAAGCCAAACTTTTTTATCAACACTTTCACGTCAACTTTTGTGCTAGAATGAAGAATTAAAGAAACATCCACCGGAAATGTAAAAATTTTATACATAAAAAGCTCAAAATTTTCTCTCTGCAAGAATGAAATTGGCATAAATACTGCAATATTTTTGGATTGTTCCAGCTCATAATAAAGCTTAAGAATGACTGATTTTGAGTTAAATTTTGTAAAAATTTTATAATCCTTTTTGAACTTTTCATTGAGATAGCTTTTGATGTCACTCACATCTGTCGCATTTACATCGATTGATTTATCAGCTTTAAGTTGCGCGATCAAATCCAACCAAATATTTAATTCCTTGACTTTTTCTTTTGTGTCAATCTGTTGAATGTAGTCTTGCATATCAGGTAGAACATAATTGTAGTAAAACAGGAACAAGTCTTTGAATGTTGTTTTTACATTTTCAATATAAACTTGATTGTGTCTATTAGTCAAAAGAATGCTAGGCACTCTAGCTATTAGTTCTGCTATAATAAGTTTCTTTTTATAATAGAATGCTTGTTTTATATCTTCATCATTATTTTTATGTATTTTACAGTTATTCCGTATATCCACCGCTACTTTATACCAGAGGTCGAAGTCGATGAAGCAAACTCACTTCACTTCACTAAAATTTCAATCGGTTTCAAGTCAGCTCGAGTGAACTCATTTTTTTCATGTTCACTCGAGTCGACTTTTAACCGAGTTGATTTTTTCGTGTTCACTTTAGTCGACTTTTAACCGAGTTGATATTTTCGTGTTCACTTTAGTCGACTTGAAACCGACTTGAGTTCACTAAGGAAAAAAAAAGTAATATACCAAACTGATTTCTGCTAGTGCTTGTGAAGTATATGTGATTACATACAAAATTGCAGAATTTGTCCTTTTTTACTTTTCATAACCATATAGCAAACTAAACGAATTAATTTAAAATATTTTTCAAACTTCCAGTTTATTATAATTCAAGTTTTAAATTTTTTTCATTATTTATGTTTGTACCTTAAAGAAATTTAACTCTATAATTAAAAAAGAAGTGTTATATTTAATGGTGAAATTAAAAACAAGTGAGAAGAAAAATAGAATTTACGATTCATTCAGTGCACTTATCAATATATCAATGTTGTCAAACAAATAAATATGAGATTAAAATATATTCACCAAAATTGGAAATATGGTGTGAATTAAAATAATTTCATTCATAATTGTAGCAGTTCGTAATAAATAATTTCAAATCAGAAAAATAATCTATAGTGCAAAACATTTATAAAATATATGAAATCTAAAAAATATTTTAAATTAATTCGTTTAGTTTGCTTTATGGTTATGAAAAGTGAAAAAGGACAAATTCTGCAATTTTGTTGCAATTTTGTATGTAATCACATATACTTCACAAGCAATAGCAGAAATCAGTTTGGTATATTACATTTTTTTTCCTTAGTGAACTCAAGTCGGTTTCAAGTCGACTAAAGTGAACATGAAAAAATCAACTCGGTTAAAAGTCGACTCGAGTGAACACGAAAAAATCAAGTCGGTTTCAAGTCGACTAAAGTGAACACGAAAATATCAACTCGGTTAAAAGTCGACTAAAGTGAACACGAAAATATCAACTCGGTTAAAAGTCGACTAAAGTGAACACGAAAAAATCAACTCGGTTAAAAGTCGACTCGAGTGAACACGAAAAAAATGAGTTCACTCGAGCTGACTTGAAACCGATTGAAATTTTAGTGAAGTGAAGTGAAGTGAAACGACTTCACTTCACCAACTTCGACCTCTGCTTTATACTTATTATTGTCATTTTTGTAGAAAGGATTTGCATCATTCTCATAAATTTGGAGCATTGCATAGTGCATTAGTTCATGACCAACAGTTCCTAATGCTTTATTTGACTTAATTTGACTATTAATTAATAAGTTTTTTGCACCTATAACGATAATTTTGATTTCATAAAAAGTGACACCTAGAGACTTATATGTTGGTATTAAATCGATAATATCTGAATTGATAAAGTCAAAGATAATTTCTACATCAGTTGAATATGACACGACTGTCAATAAATCTGGAAAAGTTTGATTAATTTTGATATAAGCTTGTTCAATGCAGTCCTCAATATCCTTTTGAGTGTGGATATGATGATCATAAATGTATTTTGACTTATGCAGTAGCTTTTTTACAGAATCATTTTCAATAATTGATGTCGAAAATTTTCTATTAAAGTAGAAAATTTTGAATTTTCTGTCATCCTCCATGGGTATGAATTTTAAGGGCTGAAAGTAATCATCTAATTCTTGATAGGTTGCAAAACTTAGTCCATTAGATTTTATATAAGCAAAGGTTTCATCATTATCAATATCTGAAGCAGTTTTTAATGCACTCTTGTTGTCTAAGTTCCTTGCAAATACTAGATGCCGATCACTTGCTATAAATTGCTCAACTTTATCTAAATTTCCATCCTTAATGTCACGATGAAAAGCTTCAATAGCAATAATGTAATTCTCCAAATTTTGAACATATTGATTAGTTTTAATTTCATTGTTAAATCCATTTTTACGACTTTGTAAGAAGTTTTTAGGATATGGAAAATCATTGCGTATTAAAAATTCAAAAATCTGATATTCTGCTTCCTTCCAAGCTAGTGCTGTGATTTCATCGAATTTAAAATTAATTTCTACGTGATATTGAGTTTTCAATATTGCTTCTTTAGCTGCTTCTCTAATCTCATCGATATAGTTCTTAAATGATGAATTATACAAGCCAGCATGTGACTCATTAAAGTTAAAATTGTATGGTAAATCTAGTAATGCCTTGAAGCAATAAGAATTGCATGTTAAGTCATAATTTTCCTCAATATTATTAAGTTTCGAATAAATCAGAAATCGTTCATCTTTCAGCATCGCAATTCTAATACAAAAATCACAATCGTTTTTAATTGCATCATTTAAAGTATTTGAATGAAATACTTGAAATTCAAAATCATTAATTTTAGAGTCAAATGATTCGATCTCGTTTATGAAATTTTCAATATAGTCTTGCTTGTATTTTTTCGGTTTTCTCGAGTCTTTTACATAATATTGCTTCTTTTTATCGGATCGACTATAAATTATCAATATGACTGGATGTGGCACCTTCTCATGTATGACTTTTTTCAATCTAGTTTTAAGGTTCTCATTCAGGATGTTTAATTCTATTGTAATAATAAAATATGATGAGTTTTCAGTCAGATAACTTGTAAAGCTGTCCAAAGATAAGTCCGTGGTCTTTTCACAATAATTCACAGCTAATTCTTTGCTTTTTAACTCTTTAAAACTTGTTGTGCATCCTTTAATATCTTCATTTTTATTAGCTATCGATGGTTTCATAATAAATGATGAAGTTCTATCGATGATTGCAAATAACTGAAAATTGAAAATAAAAATGATATTAAAATGTTAACGATTGATGAGAAGGAAAAAGGGGGAAGTTAAATTCCAATTGTTCCAAAAAGACGACTATTTTTCAAATTAGAGGAATGAAGAGCTTAAACTAGACTCTCCAACTGTGCACTTTTAAACAGAACAGTCCCTCTTTTTTGAGCCAATTTTCTTAAAAATGCTTGGAAATTTGGAAATTCAAGAAGCAAAAGTGCCTTGAAAGCTCAGTTGGCAAGATACAAATCACAAAAGTTGGTTTTGAATTTCAACTTTTAAATTCGAATTTCACTACCATCCTAGTGATTTTTTTAGAAGTTCAAATGCTTCAGCTTCTTAGGTGCAGCAGTTTAAGACGTTAAACTAAGAATTGGGCGATGTGGGTTGTAGGAGCGGGCCAAGAATTATGGAAACCGAATGAGAAAGAAACGAGAGCTGTAAATTCACTATGGAGGGCTTTTACTAGAATGGGCCTATAGAAGGCGCGTAGCCAAAGGGGGCATTTGGGGGACAAATAAATGGAAATTTCTTTATTTTGCTAGGGTTTTTATGAAAAAATCACAACCTTCCTTAAATTTCCATACAAAAAAAAAATTTGTCCCTCCCTCTTCAAATTCCTGAATACGCCCCTGACCTGGAGACATTGTGACCTACTGTATATTGGAACGAAAGCCAACATGAATACTAGTTCTAAGATCTATAACAGTTTTTAATTAGCTGAGGGGCACACAACTGCTTAGTGAAGATTATGTGCTACATACTGAGCTAGCGTCCATAATATAGATTCAAGAATTATTAATATTAAGAATAAAATTGTAGAACTTAAAGGTTTATTAGCACAATTTAAGTTGAATAAATCGAATTGAATTAAAATCAGCATCCACCGATGAACAGCCTGATTATCATGCAACTTTGACATTGACTTTGTAAAATTCAACCCTTTTTATAGTCAATGAAATAAAATAACACTGGTTCAATTGATATAAAGCAGTTGTCAGCTTTAAATTGACAACATTCAATCTTAGAGCTGATTCCCTTTCGTAAAAAACCACTGCTATAAGCCCGATGAACAACATAGCTACAACTGCACTAAAATCTATTCATTTAGGCTCCATCACAAGTTAATTAAGATCACAAGCGTAAAACACAATTTGTGCTGCCGACTCCGTCCTGATTTAAATTAATCCTTACCATCAGTAAAATTTGAACGTCCAAAAATATTGAGAACATCTTTAGTACTTGACTTTCACTAACTTAATAGTAAAACTTGAAATCACTTGCTGATTTTATACTGATATAATTACCAAAAATGATGTAAATCTAATAAAATGTTTTCGTCTACATTTTTCATTCTTGATGACTCATTTTTGTCGTGTCATTGTGAAATCATGTTCTTTTAAGATTCTTTCTGTATTAGTTTTTATTCGGTATTTATCAAATTTTATTACTAAAGTGTATTAGATTTTTATTCGGAATAATTCAACTTTATTTTAAAAATTGAAATTCGGGGTTTTTTTAAAAAAACAACCCTCAAAAAAATTATGGATGCAACCCTGATAATCAACAACGGTCCCAGGCTCATTATTATTTATTATTATTTATTTGTCGACGTTACCGTCCGGAAGAATTAGTATTTATACATGTTTTACTTTTTACATTGATTAGTGATACATTTCATATCACTATGGGTGACGTAGAATCAAGGTTCTAATCTTCAAATCTAGGTTTTCGATTAAATTCAGGCTCTCGTTTCAATCTTCTGTGGGCGTGACGTGATACATTTCAGGTCCGTTCTGACAATATTCCATTTTAAGGTAATCTTGTAGCTCTCGTTCCTATTTCTCCCATTACACTTCAAGTTCCTGATCCGTTCCTTAATCCAACGTTGCCCTAAATGCTTAATTATGGCTTGATCTCGTACATTAAGCAGTCGAAGTATCTAAACTTCTGAAAAAGAACAAATTTGGAAAAGGCTGGATTCGAACCGACGACCTTCGAGTTACCAAACCAAATTTGAGCCAAGCGCCTTACCTATTCGACCAGCCAGGCACTTAACTGCTTTACTCATTACTTTCAACAGTTCAATAATACAGATTGGATTAAATTTGAATTTAGATTAAAAACTGAATTAGTTGTTACGATGTACGTCAATAACATCCAAATAAATTTATTTATAACTTTTAAATAGTTTTTTAAATTTGAAAATTATTCATTTTTCTCATTTTCCTTGTCTTCGTCAGCTTCAACAAAAACAATTGTTCGATTGTCCTTTTTTGGTGTTGGTGGAGTTTCCTCCTTTTTCTCAGCAATCTGATTTGGATTTGATTTCATGAAAAGTGTTACAAAAAGCTGGTAAAAGAGCTCGACAAGGGACAGAATGGAGCATCCCATAAAGAGTCCAAGAAGACCTCCGCAATCGGACTAGAAATAGAAAGATTTAAGGCACAAAATAATTGATTCAAGGTTTTGCCAACTTTAAGAAGATTGACAACTTTGAATTGCTTACAATAAAATGTTGCATTTTATATCCCAAAAAGTTCTCCTGAGCCTCAATTAGAAAGTCTTCAAATTCAATCACAAATCTTGAAATAGTTCCACTGAAAATAAAAATTAATTTTACAGTTTTCAACTTTATTTTTCAATTACAATTTTGAAAGAGTTGTTCATCGAAGGAAGTAAAAAACTGGCCACTATTAGACCAAAATAACTAAGCTATTGGACAGCCTAGTCATGATAAGAGATGTTCTTCGGATACTTTTATCAAAACTTTTTCATCAGACTTGTAGTTCCTTAATGTATGCTTGCAATGCACTTTTCAATTTGATTGAAGTATTTTTGGCTATTTAGCTTCACTAGCTTCATGTCAATTTCCTGTTGCATTCCAATCAACCTGCTCAAATCCTGATTATTCATTATATTTTTTACAGTACTTACTTAGGAAAATCTTCATAAAATTGTGCATCGTCTCCAAAAATTTTCAATGTCTTTTCCGTCTTAAAATCCATGTCCATACTTGACAGCACATCATACTTGATAGTCGAACATGATGGATAACAGTTGCATGGCATTGCATTCTCTCTGTAACTTTGATCATTTTCCAGCCAATTATCATTTGCATCTTCAGCACATTCAAGCTTTGTTATGTCACAAACTGGAGTTGACGAGTTCCTTGGCATGAAATATTTTACACATCCACATTTAGTCAGTGTGTAGTTTGTCAAGCATTCCATGTCACAATGAGTTTTTGTATAAGATTTGAAGAATTGGAGTGGCTTTTCATCCTCAAAGAAGCATCGACGTTGGTTTGCATCATATCGTTGTAAATCATCGGAACTACGAACTTGTGTCGCTTTCATGACCAAAGTTTTTGACTTTTCAACTCCAACAACGACTGATCTGTGCATATATGATGGAATCTCATTTGGCATGTGCCAATAAATCTTGAATCCTTGCTCTGGACCTAAACAGGCTTCATCGATATCATTTCCGCTTTGAGCTAACAAGAACACAATTTTACTTTTAGTTCCACTGAAGATTCTTTTTGGATATTGATCAGTTTCGTCATTTTTGTAGCCATCAAGTGGATTCCAAGTTGAACTTCTGTTATTCTTGTAGCTGTCAAAGTCTGAACTGAGATCTTTGTCTTGTCTGAACAGCAATGGATAGTCCTGTAGATTATAAGTAGCACAAAATCCTTCACTTGTCATTACTCGATCAACTGCATCCTCAAAATTTTCAGTCAAAAATCCTTTTTCTGTTTTAATTCCAACAAATGTCTGGTTTAAAGGAAATTGGACTTCTGACATGGTTGAGATAAAATCAGTTCCATTTAGTGCCACATTTGTTAAATACTTTGGATTGAAAAGCTTGATTAGGTTAATGTGACTGGCTGTACAAAGTGGCAATGCCAATTCGAAATATTTTCTTGAATCATCTCCCATTTCGCCTTCTGTAAATGCAGTCGTCAATGCTTTGTTGTAGTCCAAGAAATTTCCTTTGATCTGTTTACAATTAATTTAATGATCACTTCCTTTAAATTCATAGACTCAATTACATACCTTAGATTGCGGACATATAGTTACAGCTGGAAATGGAACCGTCCTTGAAGAATTGAACCTTACTTTTAATCCAATATCAGGTGTTATGTACCATTTATCATAAACTTGAGTTGCATAATAAACACAACCGAGAATCGACAAACAAAATGCAATAATCCAGAATGTTCTGGTTGTTTTCGGACTGTGCAAGTCACCGATATATTTCACTCCATGGATTGTCGATGTGTTCACTAATAATCCAAAAACTGATGTTTTCACTTTGACAGGATCTGGTCCTTTCCGTTTAATTGACTTGATAGTATTCCTTAAACTCATGATGGTGGCACTAATAATGTTAAAATTTATTGCAAATGCTTTAGTTTTATAGTAAAAATACACCCAATTAATATGCACGCAAGTGCTTTTTCGCTAATACGATGTGTGGACAGGATGTTGTGGTTAAGTTGGAATTTAAAGGTTAAGATGTAAGTAGACTATGAAAAAGTAGGGCTAAGATGTGATCAGGCTATGAAAAAGTGGGGCTAAGATGTAACCAGACTATGAAGAAGCAAGGCTAAGATGTGATCAAGCTATGAAGAAGTAGGGCTAAGATGTGATCATGCTATGAAAAAGGAGGGCTAAGATGAAACCAGACTATGAAGAAGTAGGGCTAAGATGAAACCAGACTATGAAGAAGTAGGGCTAAGATGTGATCAGGCTATGAAAAAGGAGGGCTAAGATGAAACCAGACTATGAAGAAGTAGGGCTAAGATGTAACCAGGCTATGAAAAAGTAGGGCTAAGATGTAACCAGACTATGAAGAAGTAGGGCTAAGATGTGATCAAGCTATGAAAAAGTGGGGCTAAGATGTAACCAGACTATGAAAAAGTAGGGCTAAGATGTAACCTGACTATGAAGAAGTAGGGCTAAGATGTAACCAGACTATGAAGAAGTAGGGCTAAGATGTAACCAGACTATGAAGAAGTAGGACTAAGATGTAACCAGACTATGAAAAAGTACGGCTAAGATGTAACCAGACTATGAAGAAGTAGGACTAAGATGTAACCAGACTATGAAAAAGTACGGCTAAGATGTAACCAGACTATGAAAAAGTACGGCTAAGATGTAACCAGACTATGAAGAAGTAGGGCTAAGATGTAACCAGACTATGAAAAAGTAGGGCTAAGATGTAACCAGACTATGAAGAAGTAGGGCTAAGATGTAACCAGACTATAAAGAAGTAGGGCTAAGATGTAACCAGACTATGAAGAAGTAGGGCTAAGATGTAACCAGACTATGAAGAAGTAGGGCTAAGATGTAACCAGACTATGAAGAAGTAGGGCTAAGATGTAACCAGACTATGAAGAAGTAGGGCTAAGATGTAACCAGATTATGAAGAAGTAGGGCTAAGATGTAACCAGACTATGAAAAAAGTAGGGCTAAGATGTAACCAGACTATGAAGAAGTAGAGCTAAGATGTAACCAGACTATAAAGAAGTAGGGCTAAGATGTAACCAGACTATGAAGAAGTAGGACTAAGATGTAACCAGACTATGAAAAAGTACGGCTAAGATGTAACCAGACTATGAAAAAGTACGGCTAAGATGTAACCAGACTATGAAGAAGTAGGGCTAAGATGTAACCAGACTATGAAAAAGTAGGGCTAAGATGTAACCAGACTATGAAGAAGTAGGGCTAAGATGTAACCAGACTATAAAGAAGTAGGGCTAAGATGTAACCAGACTATGAAGAAGTAGGGCTAAGATGTAACCAGACTATGAAGAAGTAGGGCTAAGATGTAACCAGACTATGAAGAAGTAGGGCTAAGATGTAACCAGACTATGAAGAAGTAGGGCTAAGATGTAACCAGACTATGAAGAAGTAGGGCTAAGATGTAACCAGACTATGAAAAAAGTAGGGCTAAGATGTAACCAGACTATGAAGAAGTAGAGCTAAGATGTAACCAGACTATAAAGAAGTAGGGCTAAGATGTAACCAGACTATGAAGAAGTAGGGCTAAGATGTAACCAGACTATGAAGAAGTAGGGCTAAGATGTGATCAAGCAATGAAGAAGTAGGGCTAAGATGTGATCAAGCTATGAAGAAGTAGGGCTAAGATGAAACAAGACTTTGAAGAAGGAAGACTAAGATGAAATCAAAATTATAAGAATGAATTATAATCAACCAATACATATCCTTAACATTTTCACACCAACCAGTAAGTAAACAAAGCCATCGCTTTAATATTTATTTCACTCTCTATATCCAGTTCCAACACATTCCGTGCAACTAATGAAAAGCAACCCCAACAAAAGTACAAATTCCTCGAAGGCGAGAAAATTTACGACATCAATTTGAATTTTAAAGTGTTACTAGCTCGTTCATTGACCGTAAAAATGTCGACATTAATTAGTAATTATTTTGAATGAAACCGATCCTTTAATTTACTCTGTCCATCAAACTCTCCGTAGCCCCTTCTCTAATTAAACACGACACCACCGTGGGACATAGAAAATAATATGCAAATTTGAAAGAAAAGAAGCTTCGAGTTTTTAATCAATTATGAGAGTTAAGGTGGTCGGTTATGTGAAATTTGTGAAAATTTATGGAAATTTTTGGGACTATTTTAGGTGTTGATAAATTAAGTTATGTGCAGTTGGTGACTAATGGATATTAAGGGGGTTGATGAAGTTGTGAGGGATGCAGACGTGTTAATGGGCAATATTAAGTAAGAACTTTACAATTTTAACTTATTTTCTCTTCCTGAACTTCCTTTCAACTCAAAAATTTATAAAATACTATCGATTTTCATCGACTTTTCATCAATTTTCAATCTGGTTTTTCCGAAAAACCTTCAATTTTTATTTAAATCTACGTAATTTATTTGTATTTTTAATAGAAAAAAAATATCGCATTTCAAGTGGAACAAATAAATCAAAGAAAATTCAAATGTTATTTTTATTTTTAAATGTAAGCTGAATTTATCAAGCGTGAGTTTGTTTTATCTTCTGGCTTGTTTTCTTTTTGCTCTTCACTTTCCCGCTTTTTTGAGAAAATTCCTGTAATTACATTGTAAAATATCTCGATGATTGAAATGAGTGAGCATCCAAGGAACAATGCAAGCAGGCCTCCGAAGTCGCTCTAAAATATACAATTATGATGAGTTGTATTGTACTAAGGACAGTCCAGCTTATTGACAATAATATCATCAATTCTACTCACAATAAGATGCTGTAGCTTATATCCTGAATAGTTTTCCCTAGATTCAATTAGAAAGTCCTCAAATTCAATAACAAATCTTGAAATAGTTCCACTGAAAATAAAAATTAATTTTACATTTTTCAACTTTATTTTTTAATTACAATTTTGAAAGAGTTGTTCATCGAAGGAAGTAAAAAAGTTGCCAATATTAGACCAAAATAACTAAGCTATTGGACAGCCTAGTCATGATAAGAGATGTTCTTCGGATACTTTTATCAAAACTTTTTCATCAGACTTGTAGTTCCTTAATGTATGCTTGCAATGCACTTTTCAATTTGATTGACGTATTTTTGGCTATTTAGCTTCACTAGCTTAATGTCAATTTTCTGTTGCATTCCAATCAACCTGCTCAAATCCTGAAAATTCATTATATTTTTTACAGTACTTACTTAGGAAAATCTTCATAAAATTGTGCATCGTCTCCAAAAATTTTCAATGTCTTTTCGGTCTTAAAATCCATGTCCATACTTGACAGCACATCATACTTGATAGTCGAACATGATGGATAGCAGTTGCATGGCATTGCATTCTCTCTGTAACTTTGATCATTTTCCAGCCAATTGTCATTTGCATCTTCAGCACATTCAAGCTTTGTTATGTCACAAACTGGAGTTGACGAGTTCCTTGGCATGAAATATTTTACACATCCACATTTAGTCAGCGTGTAGTTTGTCAAGCATTCCATGTCACAATGAGTTTTTGTATAAGATTTGAAAAATTGGAGCGGCTTTTCATCCTCAAAGAAGCATCGACGTTGGTTTGCATCATATCGCTGTAAATCATCGGAACTACGAACTTGTGTTGCTTTCATCACCAAAGTTTTTGACTTTTCAACTCCAACAACGACTGATCTGTGCATATATGATGGAATCTCATTTGGCATGTGCCAATAAATTTTGAATCCTTGCTCTGGACCTAAACAGGCTTCATCGATATCATTTCCGCTTTGAGCTAACAAGAACACAATTTTACTTTTAGTTCCACTAAAGATTCTTTTTGGATATTGATCAGTTTCGTCATTTTTGTAGCCATCAAGTGGATTCCAAGTTGAACTTCTGTTATTCTTGTAGCTGTCAAAGTCTGAACTGAGATCTTTGTCTTGCCTGAACAGCAATGGATAGTCCTGTAGATTATAAGTAGCACAAAATCCTTCACTTGTCATAACTCGATCAACTGCATCCTCAAAATTGTCGGTTAAAAATCCTTTTTCAGTCTTCATCCCTACAAAAGTCTGGTTCAAGGGAAATTGGACTTCTGACATTGTAGCCACAAAGTCAACTCCATCAAGTTCAGCTGAGTCTGAGAAATTTTTGTTCAATTCATTGATTAAGTTGATGTGGCTTGCAGTGCATAATGGCAGAGCTAGTTCGAAATATTTTTTTTGTTCTTTTTCTACGTTTTCCTGGCTAAAAGCTGCGAATAGGACTTTGCTGTAGTTTACAAATCCACTTCTAATCTGAAGGGAGAAAAAGATGAAAGATTTGAATTATATGAGTCAAATTAGAAACAATAGCACTAGCTATTGTAGCTTGACAATGAAATATGAAATGCAAGGAAATAAAATCAAGGTTTTGATTCGATTCCCGCCAAAATTTAATATCTAAGTCACTAAGATAAGGTGCAGTTGGTATGACAAAGAGTCACAACGGTCACAACACCCCAAGAACTCACCTTAGACTGTGGACAGATTGTTATAGCCGGAAACGGAACATTTCTCGCTGCAATATGCTGAATTTTAAGTCCAATGTCGGGTGATTGACGGAATTCATTGTAAATTTGGTATGAAAAGTATGCACATCCGATTACAGATAAAAATAGCACTAAAGTCCACAGAATTCTTCCAATTTTGGACACTTTTGGGTCTGCAACATACTTAAGTCCATGAATTGATGACTTACTCGTCACTGATTCACAAAGGCAATTGTTTGCCATTTTAATATCTAAACAATTAGGTTTAAATTTGCAAACTGTTCAAGCTATGCTTAGAGATAAAATAAAGTTTAAATCTGAAAATCTGAATGAATTTTCTCAAAAAACTCTTGACTTAATTCCAGTAAAACTCGTCCACATGATCTGAACAATTTGAAAATAATCACTTGACTGAGAATACAATACTTGTGGAATAAGATTAGAGAGGCTAAAGGGTGACTATCAATGAATCGTTAAGCATGAAAGATAGGATTTAGTATTGCAACTGCTATAATATATAAATATGGCCATGATTAGGCTATTCGTCGGTTTTTGTCATTTTCAGCTCTAAAAAAAGAGAAGAACCAAATTTTCAAGCAGTTTTCAAGAAAAAATAGATTCAAAAAAGCGAGACTGCCCGCTCAAAATGGCGCAGTTGGACAGCCTAATCATGATGCATGTTTATACATTTTTATATCTGACAATGTCAAGATAAATTTTTTTTTGGTGAGAAAAAGACATGATATTCTTATCGTTTAGATGATTTGGACCAAACACAACAATAAACGTGATAATTGTTAACAAAACTAAGTTGTTGGAATTAAAAATATCGAGATCAAATAAAAAATTATTCCATAAATATTAAATTCAAACAACTAGACACCCTAATACCACAACTCACTGGCGCTTACGTCCGAACATCTGAATTTAATTGAAAAAAAAAAACTTCAATGACATTGAATTTCGGGTCATTCCTCAGACTTTGATAAGCGAAATAATAATAAAAAAAAACTTGGAGTGCACTATGGGGCAAAATGAAAAAAAAAGGGACTTTCACTTTGAAAAATGGACTTTTCCGATTTACACTTTTTGGGTGATTTTTTCTTGTAGAGGACATAAAAGTAGATAGAAATGCCAAATTTCAGATCATTTGGTGCTGATTTCGCGATTCTAGAGCTGTTTGAAGTTGAAAACTAGTGAAAATTCTGGTTTTTTCATACCATGTTTGAACCGAGAAATATCTTAACTGGTTTAAGATATTGCAAAACGGTTTTCAGTTCCTATTAGTAGTATATAAGAGCTTTATTTTGACATATAACAAAGTTTAGGTTCTGAATGTTTTCGTGCCATTATGGTAGAACATATGTGAAAATTTCAGGAAAATTATCTTCAAACAAGCCGCAACTATCATAAATGAAGAGTTTCCAGGCAAGTAAAAACGCAGTTTTGTAGCCCCATATATCTAGTTTTCAAAACTGTATAAACTTTGAAAAAGTAAGCTAACGTAATTGAGTTATGTTGATTTTAGTAGGTCGTTGAGTATTTGGCCAAAAACTAATAATTCTTTTAAAAATACGAAAACATAGTTTTAAAAATAGTTTTTTGGTGTTTTCTTATGAAAAATAACAATTTAAATGATTTTGTGAAGAAAATTTTTCAAAAACTTCAAAATCTTTCGAGATATAGGGGGTATGTGCTCTCCATCGATTTGGCCATTTGTCACCCTACTTAAACCACTATAACTTTTTTTTGAAAAAATATTTTTTAATTCTGTTTTCGGATTATTGTAGCCTAATGTAATACCTATCCAACGATATATAATACTTGCTAGTTAACTTAGTCCTGGTTATTTATAGGGCTGTTGATTGTGACATACGCAGTTTTTGAAATATTCCCAAAAATTGCATTTTCAAAAATACCACTTTTAAGCAATCTCGAGTATTTTTTTAGAACTTTTTTATGTTTATTTATGACATTTATGAGATTATAAAGCCAAAAAATTAAATTTAGAAACTTTTTACTTCCCTAGTTAACAACTTTGTAAAGTACCCTTGGTAGTCACTATCAGGTGTGAAAATCTCAGTTTTGAAACTATTTTATATATATACTCGTGAAATTCTCTCTACACATCACTCGAGTGTGAATTTTTTTCTTAAATCATTTATTAACTTTTTATTTCATCGAGCGGATTTTTGTTTTGTTCTCTCTTACCCAGGCTCGGAAACTAGGCATACACCGCCAACTTATATACAAATACCCCCAAATACCGACTCTTTATATGAAATTCTACTAAATACCGCCTAGTTTCCGAGCCTGGTTTTTAGCGCATTTTTGAAAAGGTAGCTTAATAAGACGCTTTGTTCGTTTGCTCGGCTGCCAGCAAAAACTTTTGATCTAGACATCGTGGAGAGTTCTGGTTTTTTGCGTTTGCTGTGGTCAATCGAGTTATTCCGGCGACGAATAGTTAAAAATCTCAAAATCATCGCGAAATACTATATTGGATGATTTTTTTTATTTCAATACAATGTAGCCAACTTCAAGTGGGATAGTAAATAAAATAAAAATAAAACTTGTAAATAAAACAAGAGCTGATTGACATTAGAAAAAATTACCAAACCCCCCAGCATGCCCCCTCCTTGCCAACAAAACTCCAAACCGCATTCCCATACTAAAATGTTCTCATAAATCGCAAGCTCATTGTACTAATAAAATGATGCAAAGCGGAAAGAAAATAAGAAGAAATTCCGAAGAAAAATAATAAGAATGCCGCAAATATTTTTATGGTTAATGTCTGGCCTTGCAGTTATCTACGATGTGAAGCATATGGGAAGTCATTGTCGTGTAGAACAAAACGTATAATTTGTGAAGTTTTTAAATGATTTTTGCAATTTGCGAATGAGTTTTTTGAGACGCCCTTGGCAAATACTTTTCTGTGCTAGGACCTTATAAGGGCTTATAAGGGTCTAGATTTTGTAAAAATCAGTATAAAAAACTGTTTGAAAAATTACTGGTTCCTTTTAATCAGTTTTTTAATGTGCCACGGCGCATTGGTGAAAAAAATTTATTTGACATGATGCGAGCCATGAGCATTGCATGTACTATTTTGGTCATGGTTTATCCAAAGTTGTGCCGAGGCTCAAAAAGTTTGGACAAGACTACTTTAAATTTATCAAATATAAATTAAAATGCCACCCTTTGGCTATGACTCATGAGCGACATTGCGGTGTGTTCCAAAAATAAAGATAAAGATTTTTATTCTGAGCCAATGTCTTTTTGACTAGCTTGAATTGACATGACTTTATTAATTGTTATGAGCTCTGAATTTCTTACATTTAAATTTATATTCTCTTTTATCCTTCTAGCTACAGACTAAGCAAACCCGAATGACAAAAGTGGGTTAATCGATCAGAAATCCGGTACCAAGCCGGTGTGACTCTGGAATGGTTTTGAATTTAAATCAAAGCGAGAACCATGCCAGAGTCATGCCGGCTTTGAACCAGATTTCTATTCGATTAACCGACTTGTGCTATTCAGAAAACACTAAATCAATTATTCAACTTTCTATTGTTATGTCACTTGAATGTTCATCAATCAATGGATTTATTGGATCCGTGTGTAAAAAATTAATACAAGCACCTTGCACATCGGCCATCCCAGCTTCAGGTTTGTGAACAATTAATACTCGAAAAATTCGACCAGTTCCTGGGTTGCAGTTCCAAGGTGATGGTGATGCAAGGTTGAAAAGAACGTCTTTACAGCTTATACAATCGTTGGATGGAGCGCCACCCTTGGTTTGATATATTAAGCAGCAAATGATTAGCGTTTTGAAAATACTCATTTTTAAAGAGGTTGTGGAGCTACTTTAAACTGAGTATAAAGTTTGTCAGCTATTTATACGAGAACTTTGGCGGCATTTACGATCCATAAAATTTGAAAAAGTCGTGATGAGCTTTAATTTTTTGAAAAATTGAGTCGCGATGTTTCAGAGTTTGGAAAAATGTGCTGATATTTTATAATTGGTATTCACTGGCTTCCAAAGGCCTTCAAATAAGAAGCTTCTCCAAAGAGCAAGTCAACAAGACATCAATAAGGAGATACAGATGAGGAAGTACGGCTGGATTGGACATACACTTCGTAAGAAAAACTTCAAAAAGGATTTCATTGCTGCGACAGAAATGCAAGTTTTTTATGCCGCCCTTGGTTGGAATCAGCAAGAGAAAAGACGCCCAGGAGCACCAAAAGCTTCTTGGCATAGAACAGTGATGAAAGAATATCAGCTTAATGTGCAGATCGAGAATATGTACAAACTAGGTGACAAGGCCAGCAACAGAGTCACATGAAAAACCTTTTGTTGTAACCTAAGCTCCACATAGGAACATTACAGTAAGTACGAAGAATCCTTGATTTAAATTATATTAGAGATTTTTTGTGTTTGGTGAAGCTTGAAGATGTTACAAAAGTTTATTTGAGTCCATTGAAGTTTAGGAAGGTTTATGTGATCTGATTAGGGGAAGATGGGGTCTGAATGGGGTTCGATGGGGTCTAAATTGTGTCTGAATCAGTTTAATAAAGTACCATTATTTCCATTGGGTTCAATTAGGTTCAATAGATTCAATTTAATGCAATTTGATCAGAAACAGGTCTGATTAGATCAAACCGGGCCCGGTTGGATCCAATATGCTCCAATAAAGTCAATATCACTCTTTTCATCTATTTTCTAACTTCAATGTTGAGAAAAATTCGATCTTATTTCCATTTTAGCAATTTGAATATTTTTGTACCTTTTTTTCTTGTCTTTCTTATCCCAATAACATTCAATACATTCTCATCTTCCTTAATTTGAATACATTATCCATCAAAAAATCGCATTATCTCACCCTTATGAATACTTACGTTCTCATCCTAATGTCTAACAAGATGTTTAGATGAATGGCCCATTAATGATTACTTTCAAGTCAAGAAAGAAAGAAAAAAACTCGTTATCGATTTTTATTGGAAATTTATTCAAATTTTTAATGCCATTTTCATGCTCTGCCTTTTATTTTCATTCACAATAACATCAAATTGTTGATATTTTGTTTATTTTTTATATTTTTGAGTACAATGTTTAGTGGACGGGGGTTGGAAAAATTTGAATGAATATTGATCCACACAAGCACAAGAGTACGATGAAGGCAAACAATGCGAGTCATTTTGGTGTGACATTAAACAAATTTATGGCATTTAATGATATGGCATTGTTATTATGTGAACGGTGAGTTGAAGGAAGTTGAAAAGGCATTTTGGGGCGAATTTTTTGAAGACTTTGGTTTTTTTTTCAGAAAATTCAAACTTATAAATTAATTTTTTTGAAGTTTTTTTTTTGAATTTTTTAAAGGTTTTTTATTTTTTTTATATTTTTTAAATTTCTTGAAATTTTGTATTTTTTTTTTCATTTGTTGACTTTTTTGAATTTTGAAAACTTTTTGAATTTTTAAATTTTTGATTTAATTGGGCTTTTTAAAATTTATTTGAATTTATAAATTTTGACATTTTTTGAACTTTTTAAATTTTTTTTGAATTTTTTAAATTTTTTTTTGATTTTTTGAAAGTTTTTTGAATTTTTTTTTGATTTTTTGAATTTTTCAGATTTTATTTACTTTAATTGCACTTCATAAAAATGAAAAAAGCCCAAACTGATCGTTCACATTCATCAATATTCAATTATTCAGCACTTATAATAATAACACAGTTTCATAGACTAGGACACAACAACAGCAGATCATTATTACACGGTGCGATGTTCAATGTTATGTAAATATGTTCATTTAAAGGACATGAAGCTCGGTGCTTGTTATGTACACAAAATTTAACATGAATGAAACAATTACATGAATTATGTTGAATTATTTCTGATGAGGTTTTTTTTGTGGACATAAATAAATTCGATTAATATTTTATGGACATTTTGACTTAATACTCTAGGTTGGCAAATGTAAAGTTTGGAATTTCTCTAGAAAGTTAAGTTATCAAAAGAGGGAATTTTTTTTAATTTTTTTCATACAATTTCAATTTTTTTTTTAATTTTTCAATGCAAATGTCAATCTTCAAAAAATAGTCTGGACAATTTCGCACCAATTAGCTAACCTAGTGTCAAATTAAATCCTAGGACCTGTAAAAAAACTAACACTTCGTAGCCAGAAACGTTAAACAAATCTCTTTAAAACCACATTAATTAAAGTTGAATTAAAAACTTTTAAAAAATCTAAAATTACCTTATTCAAAATATAAGCAATTCTAAAATTCACCAACTCAACCAGCATTAATTATTAAATAATTACCATATTTTACGATCAACTTTAAAAAAACTTTTTAACGTTCTTTTAATGAATACAAGTGTCATCTTGTCTTTTACCTTAAATAATTAAAAACATTTTTCTTTTTCTTTCTTGTTTTCCACCTTCAGCCGCTAATTTTCCGTGCGGTTTTCATTCCACGAGTGAGCAAATTCCCATGGGAAAAATTTTACTTTCGTCACCCTTTACATCTTAAGGCTTTAAATTAAGTGTCAGCTAATTAGATTTTTTACACTCTCAGAAATGGATTGGAGGTGGTTTAGAGGTTGGGTTGATGAAGTTTTGAGAGTTTTTGGAAAGTTTTTACCTTTTTTTGTTATTCTGGCTGCTGAATGCTTAAGGAAGACTTAATACAGTCATTTTCTGGGCTATTATGGAGGTCTCATCATTATCTTGTCAAACTATATCAACATCTTGAACCACAGCACCCCATACATCCAATCAACCACTCAATATCAACTTCTAAGCTCGCATCAACCTCTTATGTCACTCAATTCACCTCTACATCTCATCAATTCTCCTCACATCACGTCATACAATATTCAAATCTGATTAACAAGACTTTAATAAATCATCCACATATTAACGAGTCAAAATCCACCTTCTCACTTGCACTTAATTAACATTCCCTCATCATTAAGCAAATTCATTGATTTATTCTCTCTTGAACCCCTTTTTTTGAGCGTTAGAAATACTTTTACTGCTTCGGGAGCTAGAAAAAGGAGTAAAAATTTTCACATATGCCTTTAATTACATTAATCTGTTTTCATAATAATGTGAAATGAGTAAGATTGGAGCTGATGGTGAGTTTATTGGATTGAGCGCATTTGTTGATTGAAAAATTCTTATATTTTTGCTCATTTTAGCTCCTTTAATTTGCAAGTTTTGAAATATTTTGAGAACATAATAATGAACTTGTGATTATTGACTTATTTTCAGGGATCTAATAAGATTATATATTATAGAGAAGAATTTAATTTGAATTAATGAAATTGACTCTGAATTCTTTTTACTCTTAAATGTTATTGGCAATTATGGATCGGTTTCTTGGTCTGCCTGAAGTACTGTAATTCAAAAATTAATTTTGATGTACCACAAGATAAGAATTCGTGGATTAGTATGTTGAATAGAACGCTATAGCCTACATTATGATAGAACTGGCTCTAGACGCGACAATAGGCCTACGTCACCCAGCCAAGGAAGTAAGTACTACAAAATGACATAAAAACAACAATTAATCTCAGACTAGGGTAGATGCCCCGGGTAACCTTTAGAATTGAGCTCTGAACGATACAATTGAGTCACCAGGGCACAACTACATCTCCGAAATAACAAACAACTTCAAAGAATGAGATCTAACATAAAGTAAGCCTCGGATTGCTCTGCTTTTACTTACTTTACTTTAAAACCCATTTTCCTATGTGGAGCAATGGTGCGAAACTGATAAATTACATTTTTGACAGTTTTTGATCATTTTTGATCATTTAAATAAGGTCTTCAAATCGCGATTTTGTAGATGGAAAGAGATCACGTGGAAGGCCAATGATGAAAAGAGGCTGTTGATAGAGACAGTTTTGCATTTGGAATCGGCACGACCAGCGAAGTAAGTAAGTAAGTTTGATCATTTCATCAGGACCACACCCTTGATGTGCTTAGGTTACAATAAAAGGCTTTCCATATGACTCTGTTGCTGGCCTTGTCACCTAGTTGGTACAAATTCTCTCTTAAGCTGTCATTCCTTCAATCACTGTTCGAGGCCAAGTAGCTCAATTGCTCTGCTTTGGCCTTTATCTACTAGATTCACTTGACATTTATGTTGCTCTGCATGTTACTTCTTTATTTGAGTTAAATTGAAGAACAAGATGCTGAAAAGTGGACAATCTGATCAATATGCCAACAATTATGCTAAATAAACTCATCTTAAATATGATCCAACTTGAATTATAAGTTTATTTTAAATAATTAAGAAGATTTTTCATTCACAAAACAACAGAAAAAAAGCGAGTTCATTTTTATGGATTAAAAAAAGGGGTGAAAAAAAATTATTTTGCATTAGAATGAGTTAGGCATGTTCATGTATTCATATGAGTAAAAATGTACGAAGAAGATTCGAATGTAATAAAAATAATGAAAATGTTTTTTTGGAATTAAAACGAGGGTGCATAATTTATTTGATATGAATAGTTAGTTGTAGACTTGATTAGGATGGATTGAGTGTGTGGGTAAATAGGATTGAAATTGGAATTGATATGTTCAAATAATATGAAATTTAAATCTGATTTTATTAAACTTTTTAAAAAACTTATAATTTTTGAAATGCTAAATCTTAGCTTAAGTTCTGCATTAAAAATTCATTTCATGAACTCAATTGGATGCGATTTAATTTATTCAAAATGTAATTAAGATAATGAGAAAATGTGATGTCATTAAAAATTGTAATAAGATTTTAAGTTTAAAGTTTTTTGTTTCGCGTTCTTGAATTTCATTCTTAAGTTTTTCTCAA